ATGAGGAGATGAAAGTCTTCCCAGCCTTGGTGCTATGCTGGTCTCAAAGGTACAGGCACCCAGCTTCTAAGGTGACCTTCAGTCTCCTGGCTGGTGAGGACTACACAGGCCTTTGGAGGAGGATCAGTCAGGCTCTGCCCAGGAGGTGGCTGACAAGCCAGGACAGGGCCATCTCATTTGTCTGTTCTTCCAGGTGGCCCACCTCTGCTGGCGGTCCCAGATCTCCAGAGCCCCAAAGCCTGCATTTTCATGATCCCTATAGATAGAGGTGGGCAGTGAGGCTCAGAGAGGTTCGAGGAACTGCCTGAGGCTACTCAAGTCAGCTGGCCATTGAGTTGTCCTGGAAACTCTACAATCTTCAGACAAACCTCTCTCTGGCCTTGGCCTGAGCTTCCGAAATGGAAATGTCTCTTGAATATAATGCTCTGGGCATTTCACTCAACTCACTTTAATCTCTGCTCTAGAAAGGAAAGTTATTCTACTCAGCACCTTCACTCGCACCCACCTGCAGGGGCTCAGACATGGCGCCTGTCGTTCAGGAGTCACCAGTCTGATGCAGGGGGCTAGGCACTTAAACCGAACGGCACAATTGTCAGAGTTAAGGGCAATAATGTGGGAAAGGGCAAGCCCAGGCTGAGGGGCTCCCGGGTGAAGGAGCGCGTGTGTGAGAAAGCCAGGCAGGCATCCCAGGGCGGGAGGCGCCACAGCTGGGCCTTGGAGGACGAGGGTGTGTGTGATCGTTGTCAATGCCCCAACAGAGCACCCCTCTTGCGCTGCTTGCTCCACTGTCCCACGGAGGCAAAAAAAAAAGAGCAGAGGAAGGGGGGAGGGGGGTCTCGTCAGATGCTTCCTTTCAAACATTAGGTGGCGCCCTTGAGCCATGGAGCCGCGCGCGCCTGAGACTGTCCCGACCTAAGGACCTCAGAGAGGACCCTGGCCCCTACTGGGGGGCCTTGTGTGTGAACGTGAAGGGGAGGAGGGTTGAGCAGGGGGAAGGGCATCTGGGCTTGGAGCAATAGGGGAATCCCCGGTGGTGGGGGAGGCAGGCGGCGGGGGAGGGGTCTTCTCCCCCCACACCCCCCGCTCTTCCCTCCCCTGTGCCCGGGTACCACGGGCTCAAAGCTTCATTTCCCTAAGCCGGGTCGCTGGCGGTACAGAGCAGCCCTAAGCTGAGGGGAAGGAGGATGGATTGGTACCCCCGCACCCTTACCCCAGCCCGTCACTCGCTTCCCTGTCCCTCCCGGTGCTAACTCTCCGGACGCCCTCGCCGGCCGCGGGCGGAGCTCCATCCGCGGCGCTTCGCGATCCCCGGCCCCCGCCCCTTCCCCTGTCCCTCTGTCCCCGGAGCCCCCCAGAGGCCGCCGCCGCCGCCGCCGCCGTACGGCTCCGCGCCGCGCGAGCAGGTACGTGCGCCTCGGCAGCGGCTCCGAGCCGGGCCGGGAAGGGGGCGGGAGCCAGGGAGGGCGAGGAGGTGGCGGCCAGGCCCGCGCCCTCCGGGCTGCGCCGCAGGACAGACCCCAGCGGGCGGACGCCGGCTCCGGCTAGGCGGGCAGTCGCCGGGGAAGGACGCACCCTTGCCCGCCGGCCGCCCGGCGTCCTTCACCTCCCGCGTGGAGAGGCAGGGAGGGAGGCCGGCACAGGTACGCACGCGGAGAGGGTGCTACAGGGGTGGCTGAGGCTGAGGGCCCCAGGCGGGGGCCGGAGGCGCAGGACAGCTAGCCTGACCTCCCGGCTCGCCGAAGGACAAGCGGCCAAGGCTCCTGGTGCGTGCTGGCCCCCGCGGAGCCTGGCCTCCCTGGGCCGCCTGGCCTCCCTGCTGCGGGCGCCGCCCGGTCCAATCAGGCCTGGGCCGGCCGGTAGCATCTGTGGTCAAGAACACAGGAGCAAGGGGTGTGAACTGCGGGCCGGCGGGCGCGCGGGTGCGGTGGGCGGCCGGTGTGCTGGGGCTTTCTGCGCGCAACTTTGCGTATAGCAGCGTGGACCTGCTTGTGCGTATCTGCCCGCCCCAAGGCTTTGTGTACAACTCCTGCGTGTGTCTGTCGATTGGGTTTTGTGAAGCTTCATCCACACCCGCTGTGAGTCCGTCTCCTTGGATATCAGTGCTGGAGGTGGGTGGGGTGTTGGGCCCTGCGGGTCATGGTGGATCTGGCTTGGATCTCAGCAGCCCTAGCAGTAAGGTGAGAGAGTGTGTGAGTATGAGTGTGTATGTGTGTGTGTGTAAACAGCCCCGACTCCTCCTGGGGCGTGGGTACTAGTGTGACCTTAGGTCTGTGGGTCACGCATGCGGCTTCCAGATGTCTGTGGGTGCTGCGGGACAGACAGCCCCAGGGGGCTGAGTGTGGAACTTAAGGGTTTCTTTGGGATCTGTCAGACTGCAGATGAAATTGGAGGGTACCTAGTAGAGTTGTAGGGTGTGGGCAGTGGGCACAGCACGTGTGTCAGTTTATCCGGTTTTGCTTAAGTTTGGGTGATAGGTTGGCCTTGTGTAACTTGTGGGTAGCTCCGAACCTGTGCATGAGAGAATCAGAGAGACATCCTAACTTGAGGAGAGAAGGAGCCTCTGCTCCCTCACTCTGGCATCCTCTTGAAAAAGTTTTGAGATTTTGCAGGGTGAAGGAGATCTCTGCTCCCAGAACTTGTGTGCCCACAATTTTCTCAGGGATATTGGAGGCATCAATGTGTCAGTTTGGGGAAGGGATTCCTGGACCATGTTAGGGACTGAGTTTTGTGGCAGGTGCTGAGGGAGAGGGTGTGGGGCCACATCTGAGCACCCATGTAACACTCACTGCTGGGGCCTGTTTGTGACTGAGCACTCAGGAAATGTCTTTGGTGTTCAGAGTAAAAAGCACTAACTGGAAAGTGAGAGCCATCTGGGCCAGAGCTGGTGATCCAGACAGAATTTGGGCATATCCCTGCCCTTGAAATGCTCACTGTTGCAGTTAAACAGCTGGATAAAGTGAAGGGTCTACAAGTGAGGGATGGAAGAGCCAGGGAATGAGGGCAGAGTGATGACACCAGGGTGTGGGCTTGCAGAGTTGTAGGTGATAATTCTTAGAGAACCTGCATTCGGCCTGCCCCCTCCCCTGCATACACACTGGTGAGATCTTGGGCATGTTTATAAAATCAAGATAATTCCTAATTGAGGGGCTGGGGAGGGTTATACATGTAGGAGATACTCCTGAGTGAAGTGCAAGGTACAGGGCCTAACAGGTAGTAGGTGCTTAGTATACATTTACTAAAGTGGGATTTGGAAAAAGGGATGTAGTGACAAAAATGGGTTGTAAGTGGAAATAGGCTTTGTACTCAGATGAAAGGCCCTATGTGTGCTAAGAAGTGTCTGATGCAAGTTCCTATTAGAAGGAGGGTCAGAAAGATTGAAAATACGCCTTTCTGCACTGAGGATCTTTGAGTTTCATTCATTCATTCATTCTTACTTCATTCATTTGCTCATCTCCCCTGCCCCCTCCCCACACACACAACCACAGAGCACCGGAGAATAACATCAAGCATGAGAATGCAGAGAATCATTTGTGCATGTGTATGTATATATAGTGGGCGAATCACTCTGCACTTGGGGGGATCCCTGTGCTGTGTTGGGACTTGTGTGCCTTGGGTCCTAGATGTATGTACCATCAGAAATCAGTATGTATGTGGAATGAAATAGTTCTGTTGTGGGATCAGGAATTATACAGGCCAGGTTGGGAAGGGGGTTGAGGTGGGACCTGGTGAGGAGAGGCTAGATCTACCTACAGGAGGAGTTGATTACCAACTCCGGCTGAGTGTTGTGAGGGAATGGGGGCCTAGGGTGGCTAAATTCTTCCATTCTGTAAGAGAAGCCAGATATTCAAAATTTAAAATGTAAATTTTTTATATATTGGCAACTAATTCACCAAAAACAAATGAAAAGATCAGGAATAAAACAACGCAAAACTTCTATGAGCCAAATATGGCCCATGGGCTGTAAGTTGGTGTCTTTTGATGGGAATGTCTGTGCAGGTGTGTGCTCAGGGACTTCAGCCAGGTATTACCTCTTTGCAGCACAGAGCATGCCCCCTGCTTAACTTCCCCCCCCACGTTCCTATTCCACATACTCCCCCTGCTTCTGTTTACATTAAGAGCATTTGACGTTGACCTTAATCATGGCTCTCAACTCTGCTCCTTCCTCTTTGCCCTCTGAGCCCTGTCATCCAAACCTGCTGGCTCTCTTGCTGGACCCCTGTCCTCCACTCTGTTCCCTCCCATCCCAGTGGTTCTTCTATCTTCTGAAAGCTAGGCAATCTCAGCACTTCCTGCTCCAATACCTCAGCTCCCTGTCACTCTTTGGCTTCTTGGCCTGGCTCAGAGTCCTTTGTGAGCCAGCCCCAGCTGACCTCTGAGGCATCCTGTTCCACTTTCCAGAATGTCCTCATCCTGTCTCACTGTTAGAGAATTTCCAGCTCATCCTCTGAGGTCTGGCTCAAACGTCACCAATTCCCAGAAGATTCTTTGGCTTTCTCCTCTTTGTTCCTATATCTTTGTCATCTCCGCCACCCATATACTATCTTATAAAATCCCCAAAACAACCTTATGAGAAAGGCATTTTCTTCATTCCCATTTGACAGATGAGAAGACTGAGCCTGGAAAAGTCACATCACTTACTCAAGCTTGAGTGGTGAAGCTGAGATTCAAACCTGATGTGCACTCTATCTAAATCCCCTCCATCATAATAGTAGCTCATTGCTCATACTAACTGAGCACTTGCTGTTCTGAGTACTTTATATGGGTTATCTCAGTCCCTATACCAGCACTGTGAAGTAGGGGGTTGTAGGGTTACTGTCCTTTAATAGATGGGGAAATTAGAGCCCAGAGAAGATAAGTGAATTGCCCAAGGCCATTCACAGACACAGACTGCCTGACGCACCTTCACGTGCTCCAGGACAAATGTGATTGATGCCCTGCCACCAGAAGGTACTTGGTAGAGGTTTGCTAAATTCGACTCTCTGTTTTCTCTTCTAGCTGCCAAGGGGCCAAGGGATGAACTGGGGCCCTCCTTCCCAATGGCATCTCCCCCTGGTCTGGAACTGAAGACATTGAGCAATGGTCCCCAGACCCCAAGGACACTAGCTCCCCTGGGCCCAGTAGCCCTACCCAGAGAGGGTGTGGAGAATGCCTGCTTCTCTTCGGAGGAGAATGAGACTCATTTCCAGAACCCTGGGAACACCAGATTGGGCAGCTCCCCCAGTCCCCCAGGAGGCATCCCCTCACTGCCCCGATCCCAGAGGGACGATGTGTCTCTACATTCAGAGGAGGGGCCAGGCCTGGAGCCCGTGAGCCGCCCTGTGGATTATGGCTTCGTTTCTGCCCTGGTTTTCCTGGTGAGTGGGATTCTTCTAGTGGTGACAGCATATGCCATCCCGCGGGAGGCCCGCGTCAACCCTGACACAGTGACAGCTCGGGAGATGGAACGACTGGAGATGTACTACGCCCGCCTGGGCTCCCACCTAGACAAGTGCATCATCGCGGGCCTGGGGCTGCTCACGGTGGGCGGCATGCTCCTGTCGGTGCTGCTGATGGTCTCTCTGTGCAAGGGCGAGCTCTACCGCCGGCGGACCTTCATCCCTGGCAGGGGCTCCAGGAAGACCTATGGCTCCATCAACCTGCGCATGAGACAGCTCAATGGGGATGGGGCCCAGGCCCTGGTGGAGAACGAAGTTGTCCAGGTCTCAGAAACTAGCCACGCCCTCCAGGGCTCTTAAGTAAGAGCCTACCTTATCTGGCTGCTTTAGCTCCAGGGCCACAAGGCCCCAAAGGTCACAGGTTTCAAACTGACCTCCACATAGGGCCCCCTGGAAGGAGTATGGGTGCTAGAGGGAGAGCCTAGGGCTCAGCCCAGGCCCCACATGGGCAAGTGGCCCATTGATCTGTTTTGTAGCTAAGGTTTTGCATAAGGTTTTGTTTGGAAGATGGCTTCTGCTGCTAAAAATACAAACATTTGGAAACTGCTGCTCTTGGAAAATGAGGTTTCTTGGCATTTCCGAAAATTGGGAGCTGCTTAAAAGATGGCCCTTCCCATTCCTCATGCCTTGGGGAATTCCGGGACCTGCCTGTCCTCATCAGCTGAGTGAGGATGTTGGATGACCTTGGAGCGGCCTCTTTTAGCCCTGACTATCTAAGGTGGGAGGTGGCTTTATAATGAGGGGCGAAGTCAGCACTGGGGTGATCTCTCAGTATCCCCACTGACTGAACTGTGATCCTCCCTTATCAGGCCTCAGTTGCCCTATCTGCAAAGTGAGGAGATTGGATTGGATGACCCAATGGGCCTCTCTAGTTCTGCCTAGCTTCTGTCTCTGGACATCCCTTGAGGGGAGGAAAGTGTCCCCCCGGCACTAACCATTCTCCCTGCCATTTTCTGGCCTGAGCTTCATGGTCAGGCTAGGTTAAATCCAAAGTTTGCTATAGGCTGGGTTTGGTTTGGGGTTCTAATTTCCTGCATTGACTGGTATTCTGCAGTGACAAATTTTACAGAGCCAAGTGCACAATTTCCCCCAGTTCTCTGGGCAGGAGGGATCTTTTATACAAGAAAGGTATGGGCTTTGTTGTATTTCTGTAGGCCTGATGCAGGCCTTCATCACCTTCTCATTCTCAGCAGTGTGTCTCTTGGTCCTTACCTTATTCCGGTAGGAGGGAAAAAAAAATTAATGCTGTATTTGTAACCTTACTCTCCCTCCCCCGCCCACTTAGGAGTAAAGTGCAGCCCCAGTTTATCTGGGGAGAAATCAGGTTAATTTGCCCAAGCCAACTTTCAGGTGGCTCAGATGTGCTAGCCTATGTTGATTGCTGACTGTTCTCTTTCTCTTGTGGAAGGTTTCCAGGCTCCTCCAGTCTCTCTTTAAACTCCTGACCAGGTGAGGAAGTAGGCCCTAGGGGGCAAGGAGATGCAGATGTGTGAGGGCTGTTGGGAGGCATCCTCCAGATGGAATAGTCCTAGAGGGCCTCAAGAGCATTATGCCTTCTAGGCTGCTCGTATGAAGACTCTAGCAGGGTCCTTATAGTGAGCCCTTGCCACATGCAGGTCCTGCTTACTCCATATCCACTGGCCATGTGCGCCATGGCCAAGGATCCTGCCTCTTGGGGGCAAGAGGTGGGGGGATGGGGTCTGTAGGATAGATCAGCTGTAATATGAACCATCAGTCCTGTGAATTGAACATCTGGGCAGTGTAATATCACAGCTTCTATGACAGATCAAATATCTGCTCCTGCTGGCAGATTTTGTCAGGAACAGAGGGCTGGGGGAGGGGATGCGGGTTGTGTAGCTTGGCCTACTGGGTTCTGTGGTGTTGTTGAAGGGGTGTGGTTTAAAAGAACAAAGCACTGAGATAGAGAAAGATTCACAATTCCTGAGCTTTGTCAATTTCTCCCCAGCTCCGAGGCCCAGGGGTAGAAAGTGACATGAGCCATTCTAGGTAATCTATAGTAGAATTGGACATGCCAAATAATGAGCTAAGTCTTTTCAAATCCACATTAGTAATAGTAATAATAGTAATTAGAGCCATGTGGATTACTGTGATGGTGGGGCACTCATTTGGATACTTAGACGTGTTGAGTGGATGCATTTGGGACCAGCAATTCCTATCAGTTTATAGGCAATGAATTGTATTTAGGGCCTAAATCTGTTTGAAGATTAAAACCCAGGAATCTCAGGTTTTTCTAAGCCAGAGAAGCCTGCTTTGCATTCTAATGTAGAAATTCCTTTAGAAAATGTGTATAATGGATCGAGGCAGTCATTACCTTGTCAGTGAATTAAGAAAACTTGAGAGATGCCAAAAACATTTCCCTAAGATTGCAGCTGAGATCTCCAGCTGGTGGATCAGAAACAGGTTTAAGAAGTTGGGGACTTTCTTCACAGGATTTGTGGGTGGTAAGTGTGCAGTCTTCCTGGGGCCCCTATGGTTGCTGGAATGTGCCTCACCTCCAGGAACTGCCTCTCCCACCCAAGACCCTCAAATCTTGCTTTTTCGGGTGCATCAAAACAGATAACAATTTTGGGGTTGTTACATGAGTATCTAGGTTTGAATTCAGTTTCTGCCACTGACTGCTGTGTGACCTTGGGCAAGTCATTCAACCTCTCTGAGGCTGGGCATGGTACAGATTAGAGATAGAGACCTGCGTGGTAAGAGGTCCAGGAACAGTGATGCTCTTCTTCCCTACCTCAGTTGGGGAGGGCATAAACACACAATGAGACCTGAATCCTCAGGGTCAACCCTTTTCCCTTTCTCCACTCACCCCTCACACCCCACCCATCAGTGGATCTTGTTAGTACCACTTCCAGAATCTGATCACTGTCCATCCTAGCCTGCTGTTATCCAGTGCAGGGTACACACTGGTATTGTGGCTTTCTCTCCTACTCCCCTCTCCAGCCCCAGTTCTTCCTCCACTTGACAGCCAGAGGAAGCTTGTTAAGAGGGTGGTCAGGTCAGGTCATTCCTCTGCTCAGAACTCTCCTACAGTTTCCCCTTACTCCAGGTTAAAGCCAACATTCTCATCACAGCCAGAGGTGGATTTACAGCAGACCTCTCATTTGCACAGGCCCCTTCCCACACCCTGAATTGGATTTTGTATTTGTAATTTTGATTTATCTTTCCTAAGGATAGCTCCTTAAACTGTATAAGCTTCAGGTCCCCCCAAACCCAGGTCCATCCTTCACAGTGGCCTCTGAGTCCTTGACCCCTTGCTCGCTCTCTACAGCCACACTTGCCTCTTTGCCATTCCTCACCCTTGCCTTCACTCCTCCCTGAGGGCCTTTGCACAAGCTGTTTCAGGAACGCATTTTCCCTCCGTGTCTGCAAGACCCACGTTCTCCCGTCCTTAGTGGCTTTATTCAGATGCTTCTCAGTAAAGCCTTTGATGACCACTCTTTAAACCCCCTCTCCCCCAACCTCATTCCCTTTTCTTACCTGTTTTACTTTGCTCTGGAGCCCTACTCACCACTTGGTAGGCTGTGTCCTATACGTTCTGTGTATCCTGCCCACTGGATTGTAGGCTCCAAGAAGGCTGGCATTTTAGTCTGACTGGTTCAGGCTGTACTCTCAGTGCTAGAAACGTGATTGGTGCATAGTAGGTGTTCATTTTTGAATAAATAAATGTGAAAAAGTTTGCTATGCCTGCTAGTGTAGCAGGGTCCTCTGCAGATCCCCACAGTCCCCTCCCAGCCTTCTGAAGCCCTCTTCAGGGGTGAGAATCAGTTGTGCAGAAGATCATGTGCCCCAAAGCATTGAAGATTAGTTTGTCACTGGGCCCTGCAGTTGGAGCTGGGGAATCTATCTCTGGAGCTTGGTACAGCTTTTACGCGGAAGAGTTAGAAATGAGTCTCCTTGATGGAGGAAGACCCCTCTGCCCCAGCCTAGCCAGGTTGGGGCATAGCCAGGTTCCAGCTAGACCTGAGAGATATTTGCTGGGTGCTTAGGAGCTTGATCCTCACTCATCTAAGAACCTTAAGTGCCCAGGCCTGAACCTTTGAAATTTTTAATTTAATTTTATTTATTTTATTTAATTTTTATATATTTATTTTTTGAGACAGAGTCTCGGTTTGTCACCCTCGATACAGTGCCATGGCATCATAGCTCACAGCAACCTCAAAGTCTTGGGCTCAAACGATTCTCTTGCCTCAGCCTCCCAAGTAGCTGGGAGTACAGGTGCCTGCTACAGTGCCTGGCTATTTTTAGAGACCAGGTCTTGCTCTGGCTCAGGCTGGTCTCGAACCTGTGAGCTCAGGCAATCCACCTGCCTCAGCCTCCCGAGTGCTAGGATTATAGGCGTGAGCCACCATGCTCAGCCTGAATCTTTGAAATTTTATTATCTGTTATCACATCTGCTCCTTACCTCAGGTATCCATCTCCCCACTAAAGATGCCTGCCACCTGAGATTCCATCATATTGCTCCCTTCCTTGTGAATAAGCATGATCTTCCCTGGGATTCTCTTCAAAATGTCCCTCCCTTCAGGTACACATCTATAAACACACATGTCCACATGTGCAGGGGCACAGATTGCATGTATGCACACATGTGCATGCACACACAGTGTTCTCTTATCTGACCTAGCTCAGAAGCTGAGGAATATACTCATATGAAGCAGTTCCACAGAATCTGAGTTCTTTCTTGAGCTAGGCATGGTGGCATAGACTCTGTCCTGAGTTGGTCACAGGCCACAGGCTGCCTGGGGACATGGCAGTGCCATTCCTGCTGTGATGAGGCATAGCTGTGATGAGGAGGCATAGCGGGCTGTGTGCAGGGGAGGTATCCGATTGATCTGGGCCCAGACAAGGCTTTCCTGGGAGGGGAGTGTCTAATGGGAATCTTAAACAGAGGCCATAGCCAGTGTGAGGTGAGAGTGGACAGAGGGAAGGCACTCTGGGCAGAGACCAATAGCAAGAGCAGAGGCTCAGAGGCTGGAAACAGCCCAGGATATACTGGTAAGGGGTAGCTGGGAGGGGCGCTGTAGGTTCTGTGCAGGAGTGTTGAGGCACTGTGAGAGGCAGGGGCCTCCTGGGGCTTGGGTTTCATCATCTGATCTGTAGGATGAGGACAACCACAGTGTTTGCCTTAGAGTCATTATGAAGACTCTGAGTTCATACAGGTACAGTGCACTGCACATGCTGAGAGGTCACTGTCAGCAGCTATAATTGCCTGCAGATGTGTGTGGCAGGAAGAACCTTCTGATGTCAGATGCACTGTAGGAGTGACATTGGTACTGAGGCAG